GTCGTCTCCTAATGTATTCATAAAACTCTAAACACGTGTTGAAAGACATCAAAGAATTCATACATTATTCCAACGAACGATCATTTTGTCCATAAAAACGCCTTTTTCTTCATTACTTAAAGTGTTTTCTATTACTCCAAGAATTATCTCATTTTCCCCCGAAATGAACGCCTCGTTATCTTTCCCTTCCCTCTCATCCAAACCACTCATCTTTTCGAGTAATAAAAAATTCTGTAAATTTAGATAATTGTAGATTTGACATTAATCTTTATCAAACATATGGTTAAAAATTATCAACTCAATTAACCACATAAATTGTAATAATTACCTGGATACGTTTGATGACTATAATTAGCTCACTAGAAGCGGCTATAGCTAGCGGTGCATTCATTCCTACTGACCAACGCATGGCATTATTATAAGCAATAGTGGCAAAGGCTATCTCTCCCGACAACATCCCACCCGTCAGTACATATGTTAGAAAACAGGCGTATATTATAACCCGTAATATAACAGAATATATCGAAAGATTAACGCCTTTCAAAAAATTTGAATAACGTATTTGTTTTACTTCGGACCTAATATTAAATATATAATATATATTGTTAGTTAAATATTTACAAACTATATGTTTATTATTATATTATATCGATTGTGGCATTACTTGCGAGCGGTTGCGACCAATAGTGCGAAGGGCTGTTCCCAGGCGTACATCTTTATGACACGCATTCCGGCGATAATCTCTTGCATTAAACGGATTCGACTGTCGGTTAATTCGGCCGTCTTTTGACGTACTTTTTGAAACATACGACTCATTAGTACTTGAAATGGTATAAACAGCGCGAGTACTCCTATTCCCGCTAAACTCGCCCACCGCAAATGTGACCACAATAGGTATGTCACAACCGTTGCCTGCAGTGGCGCCACAAACAATGATCGCGAATTAAATGCAAACTATTGTTTCAAAATAATACCACCATGGTTAAAAACACTTTAGTTGCTTAAGCATAATTATCAATACTCAATACCTCATCAAATCTGTGGACATCATTGGACATAATGTTCAATATCTGGCCAACAGTTGTCTGTCCGAGTGATGAGTGACTTAAACGCATTGACTTTATATAAAGGTAGGTAAAATTAATTAAATATAAATTACAAAAGTATACACTCTTATGGGACAAACCTTGCGGTAGATTAGGGCACAACAGGCGGCACGGATTCGGAGTCCAACTTTGCTGCACGTGGCCAAATTCACATGTACGATTAACAGGCTGATAATGGACGCCAGTACAATACCCACGACTGCCCATTGCGCCCACCACTGGCTAGTGTTGGGGTCATTGTTGAAATATCTCACCAAATACACAATACAATACGGCTGAAACAAATTTATTCCCACTTCCTATTTCAATGCAAAATGTTAATAAAATACACTAATAATTAAAAATATTTACTATTCATTATTATAATTATAATTTTAAAATTATTATAAGTTTACTGTATATTATACCCTAATTGCATCGGGTATACTAAGAACTATGAGTTCGGGTGCGAACGATGCAAATAGTGCCCAATATAGCGATGGTTTTCCTTAACTTTTCAATTGTTTATCCCAATTGCTAAACAAATAGATGCAAAACATTATATAGTATTTTCATATTTTTAATAATAGAAATAATAATTTAATATAAATAATCATTTATATTACATTTCCAGCTTATGTCGGACCCGATGTGTCTCATCTGATTTGGGGCACCGGTAAAGGTCACTGAACTCGAGATTTTTTTTATGGGCCCAAATGAATAGACTCCATAACCAACTAATTAAGACAAAACAAATACATATGCACATTACAATTTGAAACCTACATAATACAATGTAAATGTAATATACGGTATGTATGCAAATGCACAATATAAATTTAGATACAATTTTTAAAAATAAATCACCTGAATGTAAGTTTTGAGATTATGTTAATGCGGTCCCATGGACACGGAATGGTAACCAATTCACCAGTTACATTCATAGTGTTATTTTTGTAAATACAATTCAATGTTAAAACTATAGTTTATGATATTGTTTCACAATGTATATAAACAAGGAGAGGCCGAACAATCCTATAAACTAACTTAATAATACACGCCATTGATATACTCAGATGGCTTTAATAATATCATAATATTATTTACGTTGTTACCATCGGACACTTGGTCTGCCTACCAGTGCCTGTTAGCAATTGGTGGCTATCGGCTGGTTATAACGTCCGCTCAATTCAATACACAAAACAATTACGCATTTTATTTGGAGTAAAACACATCATAACTAATATTAAATACAATATAATTTAATGGCGATATTCATGTGAGCCGTAAATATAAAGTTTCATAACTATTAATTATAATTGCAATTAATATGTAGTAATTGAGTAGACAGTAAAGTGTTTATAAATGCCAGATGAGAAATAACGAGCATATTTTTAAATATAATGTACTGTAACTCATTTGTTTTACGTAAACCATACTAACGAGTAACACGTTTAATGTAAATACAATATCCATAATTTTTATAACATTGATCTTTGGTAATTGGTGGTACAGATTTTTGAAGTAATATTATAGTAGCATAATTATAATATAATTTAGTTGTTAATTTATAAATTACATGTGTATCTGTATTGTAAGCCTTAAATGTCATGAGAAGTCTATTTTCATTATACAGCATAATTAGGCAATGTAATAGCTTAATATTTATAATAATTAGTTTTCATTACTAGATAATTATTTAAAAGTATTTTTTGAACCCCCAGTTAGCGATCGGCCCAAACAATGGCCAACTTATAAACTCCGGTGATTTCATGTATGCATTAATCGCCGGTAAACTCTCAAAACGGGTCAACAATTGAATCAAACTGTAACACAAATTTAATTTTAGCATAATTTTAATGATTATATCTTTTAATATCATATAATATATAGTAATATTTTTAAATTTTTTGTAATAAATTAAACTTTAAACAATTAATATTTATAAGAATTTACACGGTAGTATTATCTAAAGTATTATCCATTTATATATTTAATATTAATCTAAATATAAATATCAATTATCGTTACAACAAAAATAATTAATAAAACATGGTTAATTGTCTTTGCAATCGCGGTCCACTTCCTGTTCATTTTTATCAAAATTAATATTATTTTTATGATAATAGTATTGTTTTGCCATTTGTTTCAATCGAATAGACATTTCATTTCCCGTCTGTTTGACTAATTTGCTGAACAGACCATCGCTTGTGTCCAACAAATGGTGGGGAATGTCGTACTCAACCACTTCTCCCGCGTCTAACACCTGATCAGTCAATACATAGACAATGAGTACAACACAAGTGATGCGAACCCAACCCCCTATCAAACCCTGGCTTACCATCACTTTGTCG